GGGAGACTCGCGCTGGGGCGTCACCCGTCTGGAGCAGACACAGGCGCACCTTTGTCCCTCCTCGGCACCCGGGCCCTTGTGCAATCTCCGATGAGATAGCGAATTTCCCATGTATGGTGTCCGGGTTGGACCCTGTGACCCACCCCGAGATAACAGACGGAGATCTGGCTGGATGCGGTGGCCTCACACGGCTCACGGTGGTGGGACTGTGCGCTGCTCGCGAGGGGCGTCAGGTGGTGACGAGGTGGCACGTCCACTCCGGCGGGTCTGCGTGCCAGTCGCTCGCGCTAGTGAGACCGGCAGAGTCTGTACATTGGTTTTACAATATATTGTCAGTTTTATGGTTTGGTTGCCAGTGGAGCTTAGGCAGGCCTCGTAATGGACCGTGCACCCGGTCTAGCTGTAGAGCCTCAGACCACGAATCAGCTGATCTTACGGACGGCAGCTCATGCTGCTGGCGCTGCTTCGTCAACGCCAACTGGGCGTCAGAAAGCGAGCTGTCGTGACGTTTCGAGTGATGCCCCGCCCAGACTGGCCGACGCCGACGTCTGGCCGCGGCTGGTGGCCGCGGGTGGCGCCTCAGTGCGGTGCCGATCGGGCCATTATTTTCCGTTTTGTCCGTCTTCGGACCATCATCTGGGCGACCGTCTCAGATCGAGCGCGGTTTTTCTAGTAATGTGTGTTATCACCAGCCGGACCGAAGGACACGGTACCGCCGCCGTCGGCCCGCCGCTGCCAGCGCCGGCGGCCCTCACCGGGATGCGCCCGGGGTGTAGCGAGGGACGCGTGCGACGGACTGCGACGCCGGGCAATGGGCAGGTGCCGGCTGCTGCCGGCGCGGTCAGCGCTCTGCGGGCAGCTCACAGAGCCGTGGGTGACGTGGTCTGTCTGGTATGTCCAAAATCACAGCACATGCATTGGCCATTCTAACCGACATACCGGCGGTCTGAAAAAGGGCCGGCTGCGACTGATGGCCGCCCCCTCACTGTCCCCGACCGTGGATGGGACAACTGTGGAACCTCTTTGTGATCCCAGCCGGCCAGCTGCGCCCGCCGACCCACCTGGTCTCCCCAGGTGAGGTTCCGCCTGCCATTCAGGAGTCGGCGGGAGAAGTCGCCGACTTTTCATGACGCCCACATTCCGCTTAAACGGGAAACCGGACACTGCTCGCCGGACAGGATCGCACTCTGTTCCTACGGTGTTTGGGGCCCTGTCTGTACCACTGAACTTGTTCTGTACGCCCTAGTGGGTTTCGGTGCAGAAGGAGCGTATGTTTGGCACGTAGCACCGGGCACCGTTACATCGGCCCTCGCGCCAGCATGCTCCCTGCACGGGCGTATCTCCCGGTGCCGCCACATGGCGTGATCGGCCTGTGGCTGACCTCTGACCCCGCTGCTGGGCCCGCGCGCCGGCCCGGCCGACATGTGACGGTCCGCGCGCCGGGCTCACCGACGGCCCGCGCTGGCCCGGCCGACATGTGACGAGGCCGGTGCCGGGCTCACCGACGGCCGTGCCGGCCCGGCCGACATGTGACCGGGCCGTGCCGGCTCGACGCCGGAACGCCGCGCCGGCACGCCACCGGCCGCCGCACGGTGACGCCACGCTTTACGACCGGGCCGCCGGCCGCCCGATTACGCCGAAACGGGAATGCCTGCCGCCATGATGGCTGCTGGCCGGGGCGGCGCAGACGGAGGGGCGGCGGCGGCCGGCGCTGCTGTCCCCGTGGCCAGCCAAGGCCAGTGGAGCGGATCGGCGGGCGCCGCAGGGACGCGCGATGGTCAGGCCGTGCGTCAAGGCAATGTGGGCAGACCGTTCGGCGCTGGCAGCCCGGCGTGGAGGGGACCAGGCGTCTGTCGACGGCGCCGGGGCCCGTGGCCTGGCGCGGCTGCCTGCGGCAGCGGCCCGAGCCTGGCGTGTCCGGACCTGTCACCGTCACCTGGTGTCGTCCTCGGGGCGTCGGCGCGGCGAGTCACGTGAACGGCCAGATGCGCGACTCTCCTGCTGGGGACCGCTCGGGGGTTCAGCTGGCCCGTCATGCGAGACGTTCGTGGTCTGCACTGCGTCTGGACAGCACAACAGGCTGGCGTTGTGTGACGCGAGAGCCATCGAGGGGCTGGTGTGCCGATGTGGGTCTGCGGGCCTGTTCTCTCCGGCCCGTCGCCGTTGACCGCGCCCAGACCGGCCGGTCTGTCGGCGGGTCTGGGTCTGGGACTGGTCGCGGTCCGTGAGCCGACCGGCGCTCCCCGCCAGGCTCCGCCGTGTCGCTGTCCCCGTCCCGCCATCAGCTGGCGGCCCAGATCCACCGTGACGGACAAAAACGGCCGCCCTGGCGACACTAAGTGCCGGCTCTGCCGCGCGCTAATGCCACGGCGGCGCGCTGGCGGAAACGGCGCTGCCGCCGCCGCTGACTGAAGGGGCGCGCACGGTCCGCTGGTGGCCACCGCCCAGGCGTGGCGAGCGGGGGAGGTGTGCGCCTCTGCTGGGTAGCGGTGCTTAGATGACGTGGTCCTCCCGCTGCCGCTGCTGGGAAGTTCCTGCTGCTGTCCGAGGTCGTGTGCGGTTCAGAGCCTGCGGTGGGAGCTCTTGCTGCTGTCAGAGGTCGTGTGTGGTTCATAGCCTGCGGTGGGAGGTCCTGTTGCTGCCAAAGGTTGTGTGTGGTTCAGAGCCTGCGGTGGGAGCCCTTTCTGCTGTCAGAGGTTGTGTGTGGTTCAGAGCCTGCGGTGGGAGGTCCTGTTGCTGCCAAAGGTTGTGTGTGGTCCAGAGCCTGCGGTGGGAGCTCTTGCTGCTGTCAGAGGATGTGTGTGGTTCGGAGCCTGCGGTGGGAGTTCCCGCTGCTGTCAAAGGTTGTGTGTGGTTCAGGGCATGGAGGACATTGACCGGGCTTGGAGCTGGATACTTGTCGGCCCGTGAGACCACTACACAAACTGCATGCTGCTTGAGGGAAGTGCTGCACTTTGCAGTTTGCAGGCACCGCACCCCGTTATCCGCATTCCACGGTGATAATGCAACGTTACCGCACGTCTCAGGAATTTGGCTGTTTGCAAGTCCTCGTCACGGTCGACTCTGTCGGTCATTGTGTGGCACATGAGCGTTCGAATTATTTCGAAGGTATTCATGCTGCTCATTAAGTCGAGAAATCGTTCAGGTTGTGGTGCGCCTGGTCACATGAACGTATGATTATTACGATGGCATGACAAAACTGCAGGTAGAAGAAGAATGTCGCATGAAACAAGTTATGCATCTGTTAGCAGATAAGTCAATTTCTAATCCCTGGCTCTAGCGAAAGAGAGCGGCAGCCATGTCGAAGCCAGAAACACGCGGAGACTTGGACTTGTGACTAATTGGTAATGTTGACGGATCACCGTATTAGTCATCAATTTCGCTGCTCTGTGGGTGTTCCAGGCGGCTTCGACCAAGCAAATCAGTAGAAATTTGAACTGCGACCCCTCTTGAATGCATTTCGACGAGAGCTGCGGGCCCTGGTGTTACGCCAGTGCACTCCGTGACGCAGGGCCCCTCGACCTATGTGCAGTGCTCGTGGGTGGGGGGAGTCCTCTGCGCACGTTGGCGTGCGGCTCCGTCGGCCAGTACAGGGATTGGCCACCATTTGGCGGTGAGTAGTGCCCCGGCGCGGTGTAGTCGGTGGGCCCGGCAGTCAACAACGTGCCGCCATTTGTGCAATCCATCGACAGGATTGCGGGCAATATCAATCGGCTCCCATGAAATAATGTAGCCGGCGATTGCTACATTTATCTGCATAATTTAAAACCCAGGAGGAACTGAGACGCAATGTCATTGCAAACTTAAATGGGGTGACGTATTGAACCAATAGCCTACATAAAGTTGCAACAGTTAAGACATGTAGAAATATGATACCATGACTGGAGACAGATGAACTGTTCCGTCTCAGCCATTGTGCCACAAACTCCGACTGCAGTTAATTACTTCATTGCAAACCGCTCCAACAAATCCAGACGCAATTTACGGACGGCCCGCGATAACAATTTATGTTTTTATTACGCCTCGCCTGACGGTGATTTGACGTTCCGGAGTCGTCTTGTGGAGACGTCTGGGATGAAGCCGCTCTCGGCGTAATGATAATCTTCCCAAACCCAGGCTGCCCAACGCCATGAATTGGCATCGTGCCAGCCACCGCCGGTGATTTACATGCTCTGCAATTTTGGGCTGTTGAATTCCGAGCATGGTCGCCTTTGCATGAATAATATATGTGCTGCGCAGCACACACCGATTAAAGCTCCGGTCTTAATTATTTGCAGAGCAATGCCCTGCTTAATATTTGTGGCATTAACAAAGATTGTGTCGGATTATTGCGGTAAATAGGCTTGCAGTAAGGGGCATTAAATCGTGGCAATGAATCATTTAAATCTCCCGGAGTTTTTAGGCGGTGCGTCACTGTCTACAGAGAAGAGCGCAGCGATGAACCGAAATTGAAGCAGGACCGGAGGTCAGAGCACGGCCTTAGGTGGAGCGGGCCCTGACGCTGGCACGGCACGTAGCCGAGATGACCTAGGGTCAGGACTGGAGTTGAAGGCAACGAGACAGGAAATCGTAACGGCTCTGAAGATCAGAACGGCGGAAGCCCGTTGCAACGGGACGTGCGATGTGAACGGGGAGCGATTCGAACGGAACTTGTAATGGAGTCGGGATTTGGCCATTGTGGCGGACGCAACCGCTGTGAAGTCAAGCTGTGAACGGCACTCCCATGAGCTGGTGGATGGCCCGAGGTGTTCTGGTCATGCTGCTACCCGTCTGGATGATCGAACGTCATGTGTCGTGCCCAAAATGGGGCACGGCAGAACATAGTGAGATCAGAGCTGGGTGCGACACAATTCTTGGTCATGTCGACACTGACCACGGTCTGCACTTTGGCTGATGCCGAGTATCGCCTGTGCGGCTCGGAGACTGTGCCGCGTGCCGAGCCACCCTCTGCCGCCGTCCCCCCCCCCTCGCGCTCACCGTCTGTCGCCGCTGTGCCGCAGGCATGTGCTGGGTCCGATGCTGTTGGAGATGATGTCGCCGGGGTACTCGGAGCTCCAGGACGGCTCTGTGCCGCTGACAGGCGGCGGCGGCCAGCCGGGCGCCCACGATCACCAGCAGCCGCCCGCCTACCAGAACCAGGCGCAGTTCGAGGCCGACAAGCGCGCCGTCTACGAGTAAGTCGCCCTGTGTCTCCCTCTCTCTCTCCCTCTCTCTCTCCCCCTCTCTCTCCCCCTCTCTCCGCTCTCCCTTCTCTCTCTCCCCCTCTCTCTCTCTCCCCTCTCTCTTCTCTCCCTCTCCTCTCTCCCCCTCTCTCTCTCTCCCCTCTCTCTCTCCCTCTCTCTCTCTCCCCCCTCTCTCTCTCCCCTCTCTCCCTCTCTCCCTCTCTCTCTCTCTTCTCCCTCTCCTCTCCTCATCTCCTCTCTTCTCTCTCTCTCGCTCTCTCTCCTCTCTCTCTCTCTCTCTCTCTCTCGCTCTCTCCTCTCTCTCGCTCTCTCCATCTCTCTCTCTCTCTCTCTCTCTCTCTCTCTCTCTCTCTCTCTCTCTCCTCTCTCTCTCTCTCTCTCTCTCTCTCTCTCTCTCTCTCTCTTCTCTCCTCTCCTCTCTCTCTCTCTCGCTCCTCTCTCTCTCTCTCTCTCTCTCTCTCTTTCTCTCTTTCTCTCTTTCTCTCCGCCTCCGCCTCCGCCTCCACCCCGCCTCCGTCTCCTTCTCTATCTGTCTCTGTCTCTGTCTCTGTCTCCGTCTCCTGTCGTGTTTGGCGGTGCGCGATGCGTTTCCTGCCTTTCATGACGCACAGAGCTGTTCACCTGGAGGGAGGGGCACACTTGGGAAGCTGCGCCGCCGCGCAGGACGGCCGGCTGTCCCTGCATGCTGCGCTGCCCTGCAGCCTGACGCTCGCCCTCCGCTGCAATGTTCGCGCTGTGAGCGGCTGTGTGGTGCGGCGCCCAGCGAGGGGTGGTTGCTCGCTGGGTGCTCGCTGGGTGCGACACTGCACCGGACTAGCCGCCGTCCGGTCTACCGGAAACACTGAAGGGCAGACACTCTTGCTCCCGTCGTGCGAGTGACTTTCGGCGCCACCAGTGACCGCGCCCGCTGCACGGCTGTCGGCTCCTGGCGGCCGTCTGATGAGCTCCCAAGGGTGGATGGTTGCTCGTGTTGTGGGCGTGCCGGTGATCGAGGTCTCGGTATCGGCCGTTTGCCAGTGTTCGTCGGGCTGCCGCTCGGTAGCGTTGACGGCTCGCGCTGCGTGAGGGACTGCCTCGCTGTGTGGGTGACGTGGCGTAGCCAGCCCCGCCGCCTTCCCTTGCTCCCGCACCGACTGTTCCGCTCCCACCCCGCTGGCGCCCGCTGTCACCGCGCTGAGTCTGACCGTGTGCGGCCGCCAGGCACCCGCTGTTCCCGCTGCTGGCGCTGCTGCTGGAGAAGTGCGAGCTGGCCACGCAGACGGCCGACGTCTGCTCGGCAGAGACGTTCTCCGCCGACGTGCAGGCCTTCATTCAGCACCAGCAGCGCGACCGCAAGCCCTTCCTCATCAATCAGCCGGAGGTGGACGAGCTGGTGAGTGTCGCTCGCGGCGATGCCGGCGGGCAGGGTGTGATTCGGGTGTGGGGAGCTGTTGGGTGTCGCTCGCGGCGACGGAGGCAGCCAGGGTGTGATCCGGGCGTGGGGAGCTGGTGGATGTCACTCGCGGCGACGGAGGCAGGCAGGGTGTGATTCGGGTGTGGGGAGCTGGTGGGTGTCGTCCGCGGTGACGGAGGCAGGCAGGGTGTGATCCGGATGTGGGGAGCTGGTGGGTGTCGTCCGTGGTGACGGAGGCAGGGAGCTGGTGGGTGTCGTCCGCGGTGACGGAGGCAGCCAGGGTGTGATCCGGATGTGGGGAGCTGGTGGGTGTCGTCCGTGGTGACGGAGGCAGCCAGGGTGTGATCCGGGTGCGGGGAGCTGGTGGATGTCACTCGCGGCGACGGAGGCAGGGAGCTGGTGGGTGTCGCCCGTGGTGACGGAGGGCAGCCAGGGTGTGATCCGGATGTGGGGAGCTGGTGGGTTGTCGCCCGTGGTGACGGAGGCAGCCAGGGTGTGATCCAGATGTGGGGAGCTGGTGGGTGTCGCCCGTGGTGACGGAGGCAGCCAGGGTGTGATCCAGATGTGGGGAGCTGGTGGGTGTCGCCCGCGGCGATGGAGGCAGCCAGGGTGTGATCCAGATGTGGGGAGCTGGTGGGTGTCGCCCGCGGCGACGGAGGCGGGCAGGGTGTGATTGGGGTGTGGGGGAGCTGGTGGGTGTCGCCCGTGGTGACGGAGGCAGGCAGGGTGTGATTGGGGTGTGGGGAGCTGGTGGGTGTCGCCCGCGGCGATGGAGGCAGCAGGGTGTGATCCAGATGTGGGGAGCTGGTGGGTGTCGCCCGCGGCGACGGAGGCGGGCAGGGTGTGATTGGGGTGTGGGGAGCTGGTGGGTGTCGTCCGCGGTGACGGAGGCAGGCAGGGTGTGATCCGGATGTGGAAGCCGGCCGCTCTCTCGACTCTCTACTCCTGTTGTCGTCGTGACCCGGTGCGCCGCCGCTGGTGCTGGGGCGACTTGTTTTGCTGTGCCTGCTGCCGTTACGTCTCGGTTCGTTGTTCTTTTGGTGCTGCTTTGTTAAGGTTGCTGGTGGCGGACGCTCTTGAGTTGTATTGTCATTAATGTAGGTGTGCCCTCTTGATTGCGTGCTCGTGCTGCTTGCGTTGGAGATATAAGGCACGCGACATGGAAATGTAAATTAATGCATGTTTTGTCGTTCCAGATGATCAAGGCGATCCAGGTGTTGCGGATTCACCTGCTAGAACTTGAGAAAGTGCAAGAGCTGTGCAAAGACTTCTGTAATCGTTACATTACGTGTTTAAAGGGGAAGATGCAGAGTGAGAATCTGTTGCGCTCGGATTACTACGACTCACCGGTCAGCTCACCGGGCTCTCACCACAGCATAAACGGTGCCGCCGAGCAGCTGGTGCATCACCAGGTACTGTGTCAGTGACGTACGGCTGTGTCAGGCAGGCACGCAGGCGTGTCAGAAACATGCAGTCGGTCACGCACGGGCTGTCAAAAAAGCAGTTTGGGGAACACCGATATGTTAGAAGTACGGTTGGTTATATCGAGTGTACATGACGAAGGTCCGGTGGACTGGTATCCCCACGGCGAGGGACGAGGTGGTGTCGTACGTCACTGGTTAATACCATGTTTCTGAGAGGCTTTCAAATATGACACCGTAACAAGGCTTTCTGCGTTCCTGCCGAATCCAGGAAGGCATACTCGTACAGACGATTGAGAAAGGTGGGTAGGTACTCTTGCCGAAAGTCGGGCTATGTTCAGTACCTTCTGCCGTTCAGGAAGAGAAGTGGTGCGGACAGTTTAACCTACATATCGGCCGATATTGTCAGCTTAGGACGCTCCCATCTTCAAAATTAGAGCCGCACACCATGCCGGGATGCATGGTACATCAGCAGGGTCGCGCACCACCGCACTGGACCTTTCCTGACCCGTGCAGTTGTGGCCCGACCTTTCAACCCGGGCGAGAGTTTCTCTCTGCACGGGCGTCAGCCCGCGTGAATGATTGCGAAAGTACTTGCAACTGGTGCCCGTAACCGCAGCACATGTAAATAGCTGAACTAGTAGTTGGGGTGTTCCATACAGCTGAACTGTCTGCGGCATGATTTCTACGCTCCAGCGGGCTCTTTACACGCTGTTAACGGCGACATAACGCGAGCCGGCTGCGGCCTAACGCCGTGGCCGACCCGCCGCCGGCCGCTTTTTTGTGTCGGAAGCATCCATTTTACTAAAATTATGAGGCAACCACAAACGGGCTAACATCTCACCGACCCATTACAGAAGCCATCACGGTGCTAAATTTACACCCGGACACCGATTAATGTAGCGGTTACATTCTGCACTGCCGGGTACTTACGGGGCAACCATGTTGAACATAATGATGGCTGGAACGGCATTTACAGCTCCGTAAAATTACACCAAACGCCAATTTCAACTCATCAATGCCGCTTAATTTCTGGCGGATAGCTGTAATGGCTTGGTGATTGTGCAATATTATTTCAGTTTTCACATGCTGCACTCTTCATTCCGACGTGTATAAATCGCGAGTGACACATTAATTACTTGCCTCGAATTTATCTGTCGGAAAATGGCGCGGCTGACCGAAAGACGTTGCATGCAATCATGTCGTTACGCAGTGCGCCGTACTGGGGGGACGCGTGACCAGCTAGCGGCGCAGGCGGTCAGCCCAAGCGAACCAAGCGAGCCTCTTTTGCTGCTATTGGGCGCGACAGGCCGACGCCGTTGACTCGGGCTAGCGCCCGGAGTGGTTTTGACTGGGGAGACGATGGCGGCCGGCTCGGACTCAGCGACGCCCGGGTCGCCGGGCCTGTGGCGCCGACGGAGCCATCTTGGTTGGAGTCATGATGTGATGTGTTTGCGTGTGATCATTATTCGGCGCCGGCAGGCTGGCTAAGTCAACAGTCGTTAAGCCAGTCAGGGCTGCGCTCATGCGCGCCCTGGCCGGCGAGCGCTCAGCTTCGCTCGGAGGCGGGGTCCCCCCCCCCCCTCCTCTGCCCCCTCCCCCACCCGGAGAGACGGGAGCGGGGTCGGCCCCCTTCGAAAAGACCGCTGCTGAGCAGCTACCTCGTCGGAGCGCGCCAGTGGCCTCTCGCTCCCCGGCACCCGGTCACTGACCACTCCTTGGCGGCTCGTCCAGGCCCGGCTGCCGCTTGCCTGAGCCGCTGTCATTGGCGGCTGGCCCAGCTGGACCCTTCCCGATCCACCCCCTGCCGACCGCCCCGTCACAAACCACTCCCTCCCTGACGGTCGCCCTGTCGCGGACCACTCCTTGCTGGTCGCCATGTCACGGACCACTCCCTCCCTGCCGGTCGCCCTGTCACGGACCACTCCCTCCATGCCGGTCGCCCTGTCACGGACCACTATCTATCCGGCACCCAGTCGTCATGTCGCGGACCACCCGCTGACGGTCGTCATGTCGCGGACCGCTCCCTGACGGCCATCCTGTCACGGATCACTCCCTGACGGCCGTTCTGTCACAGATCACTCCCTGTCGGCGGCCCTATCACGGACCACTCCTTGACGGCTGTCCTGTCACGGACCACTCCCTGACGACCGCCCTGTCACGGACCACTCCGTGACGACCGCCCTGTCACGGACCACTCCCCGACGGCCGCCCTGTCAGGGACCACTCCCTGACCGGCCGTCCCGTCACGGATCACTCCCTCCCTGCCGACCGTCCTGTCACGGACCGCTCCCTGCCCGGTACCTAGCCGCGGCCGCCGGTGTTTGACTCGCGGCCCGTTCTAGGGTGAGTGAGGGCAGCGAGCGTTTGCATGTGCTAAAAGCTGCGGGCCTGGCTCCGGCCGCTGCTAAAACTGCACCCAATTAAACCTATTGCGCCCATGGTCGCTCGCCGGATGGGGCAAAGGTGCCCCGCGCCGGCGCTCTTTCTTTCCACAGCATGCTATAAAATGCTCGGGGCGTATAGCACATGCATTACTTTCCGGGAAATAAAACGATAAAGTTCCTTTTATGTCCTGATTCTGCGGCGGTGTGTGTCCAATAGCGGCCGCCGGCATTTAGGACCGCGGGAGCTCGGAGGGGGCAATTAGTTGCATGCAACGGGCGATTTACACCGGCCATGAGCAAGGCTTGTGCAGGGCCGCCTCGGTAAACACGGCTCCAATAATTCGCGAAACCATGACTATACGTCGTGGGGAAATTTACTGATTCAGGCTCGCGTTTTGTGTTGGGAGGTTCGATATGGGGAAAGGATGAAAAGCTCTGGTAACGAGGGTAGTCCTTCGTTGAATGGTGCTTCTCCGCCCGATCTGGCTGATACGCTCACGGTCATGATACGTGGCGGTCGTTATGGTACAACCTCGCATGTGCAGAGCGCTTGCGCTGCAATGTGTGCTCACGGGCCTAGATGTACTACGCCAAATGTGGTTAACGTGTATGAGTAGTGGACATCGGCGTGTGCGAAATAAATTGGTCACTTAACGTTCTGAATACCGGGGGTTATGATGCACTATGCAAAGTGCATTTTTCTGTGATGGACTTTGGTTGAATTCTGACGTTTCTGAAAAGTTTGTAATTTGTCCAGACCTGTCGGGTCTTGAGCACTCAATGTTGCCCGTCCCTTACTTTTTCAATGTATTTCCAATCCAGAAACGCTATAGGACTAACATAACATGCTCTGACAAATTGCCATCGATCTGTGCGACATAACAGACAGCGAGCTTTACTTACGTCCGGTTATTGCTGACAAGGGATTTACAAGCGAGGGTTTTCATCTGAAGACGACTGCACATCCGTTTGCCGCGTGGGCGAGAAAAACAGCCTTGTGTAGATGTGTTTGGTGTTTTCTTACCGGCCCAGCGTGATCGTCCATTTCCTCGTCACGTGGCGGATCACTCGGCGCGGCGATGAGGCGCCACTCGACGGGGCAGTCAGAGCGCGGGCGGACATGAGACACTAAGTAAACCACAGGCGGGCGGGCGGGCGCCGCCTCGGCGTCGGTCCCGCCCGTCCGCCCCTCGGTCAGCTGGTCGGCGGCGGGCGTCCGGCGGACCGGCGGCGCCTCGACGCCGGCCGGCTGCGCGCCATCACCCGAGTCAACACGGCCGCCGAGTGCAACCAAAACAAAAACAGCGCCGGCCATCGACCGCGCGATCGCACCGCCCTGCAACGCCGTGCACCGTCACCGCTGCCGGCGGCGGCGGCGGCGGCGGCGCGGCCAAACGAGCCCCTGCCGTGCCGGCGCCGATCGCGCCGCGCCGCCGCGCGCGCGCGCGCCTCCTGTTTTAACGCGCGCCATCATGGCAGCGTGCCATTACGTGCTCCTTTGATCCACTCCGGCGGGGAGGTGTTGCTTTGTCGGGCAGAACATGTAAATTTGCAGTTTGGAGTGGGGCGCATTGTGCGGCTAATGACGGCATTGCGCCGCCGCCACCATTACGCCTGATGACATTGTCAGGGTGAAATGAGCCAGCGCGCGTTAGGTGGAGGTGCACGGACGGGGGCGCGGCCGGCAGCCGTGTGCAGCCATGATTACCGAGCCGTGCGAGTTCCCAGTCCCTCCCCCCGCCGTGTGACCTGCCGGCGGTGACGCCCTGCGGAACACCGCCCCGTCACCGCCGGTCGCTCGTGCCCTGTTGTGTTTGACTGTGCGGTGTCCCGCCGTCTGTATAGCCATGCTCCGTTGTGACCGGTTTGCTCGTCAGCATTTTCTGATGACATTAAGGCGTGTGCCGCGGCGCGGACGCCGCTGCTGTGGCCCGCCGTGCTGTATGCTTGCCTGTCCGCAGCGACGGCACCCGTGCTGGCCGCCCCAGTGGCGGCCCGTGCAGCGGCCGACCGCCGCAGTCCAGATCCTGTTCACTCGTACTGTTTCAGGCAGTCCGCGATAGGGGGCAGGTTCTAGTCTTGGGTCGCGCACAAACTGGGTCGCCGGAGGAGACGGGGTCGGCGCGCCGGCCGCCCGCCGCTGCTGTCTCGCCCGGTCTGCCCGGCTGCACGGGTACGTGGCGCAGACCAATGCTTGGCTTCTGTGCGCACGTGTGGCACGGTACGGCGGCTTTGGCATGTGGGCCCGCCTCTGCGCCTCTACAGTATCTTTCATCATACGCCGCCTCTGTGCGTCTACAGTATCTTTCGTCAGACCCCGCCTCTGTGCGTCTACAGTATCTTTCGCGATGCTTCGCCTCTACGCCTCTACAGCGTCTTTAGTATGCTTTGCCTTTACGCCAGTACAGTATCGTTCATCAGCTACGCCATGCAGCTTGGGTCTCGCTGTTTTTCCGCCATTTGTTTAATAACTGCAGTCACATTCGCGTTACGTTTGTATTCATCTTACGGTGCGAAACGGGATTCTGTCAACGCAATAAGAGCCTCGCGGATGTGTACAAAATGAATGATTCGATTGGGTCTGGACGAGTGAGATTCAAGTTCGCGCGCAACCCCGGCAACTGGTGGTTCTGTCGGGCCACAGGCATCAGATCTCCGTCCTCGCCGAGCACCGACGACGACAGCGACCCTGGCGGCAGGAAGCAGAAGCGCGGCGTGCTCCCCAAACACTCGACGGACGTCCTCAAGTCATGGCTGTTCCAGCACATGGCCGTGAGTGCTCCGTGTCAGCACGCCGAGTGCCGGCCGTGCTGATCCCGGGCTCGAAACAGACCAGTCACGCAGACTCGAGCTGCGACGTGGATGGGGGCGAAGGCCAGTCTAGGGAAGACGGTAGGCCCGCGATAGAGGTGCAACTTTTTCCCAAAATATCAGCCCACAGTCTAGCCCGCGCCACCTAGCTAATCATCCAGCCTGCAAAAGCCTGCCATGCTGATATGCTGATCCACCATTTATCTGTAAGTACTAATTTATTGCAACATGCGTTGCATCATTTCACCTTAATTTTGGACTAATGCATTAAGGGTCCATAAAATAGCAAGTTCATCTCATTTAATGCATGCGTTATTTGACTAATACCAATGGTGTTACTCAAAGAGCAGCAGTCAGATACTGGATGTTTCACGTCATGGCAAGCGTCAGCTCATTACATGAACGTAAGCTCAGTCCTCATTTCACTGCATCACAACTGCCAACGTGTCATATTTCTCACTGAACAATCACAGCCAGCCTCCAATTTGACGTTTGTTGTCCTTAAGTGGACACGGCACGTGACCACGCCACATAAAAAACCACATGCTAGCTTTGGACTAATTTAAAATTCCCTCACACCACAATCCGTGGTCCAACCGACAGCAATCTCCGCGCCGCTTCAGTGATACGGCATTCAAAGCAAGGAAAGCAGATTGGCGATGCCATCAAAAACCATGTAAAATTGTAGCATCAAAAAAAATCCATGGAAACAACCAAAAGTTATGGAAATCATTTTCAAGAACTCTTACAGCACACAAAGCCTGGAGAGCGCGATTCACGATCCTAAACAAATGCTTCATTGACAGCCAACAGTCAAGCGCAGTGTGCAGCTGTAGTTATATAAAGGACTCACCCAACTGCTGCTCAATGAAATCAGGCTATAGTCTTGGAAATTTCGAGTCGATATTTTTGATTTTTCGGTGAGATGGTTGCCTAGAGCTGTTGAATTTGTGGAACCCGGTTTTCTGGTGCGTCATGTATTCTATGGGTTTTCCGTATACTCTGGTTTTGAGATTATTTTAAAACTCAGGGAAAAGCAAAAATACATCATTTTGTTTGCTACAATTTTTGACCCGCAAAGGCCCGCCTCGTCCGGCTCATACCCCAGCCCAAGCCCAACGGGTTCTCGCGGGCCAGAAATTGTAGGGTCGGCGGGCTGAAAGATTGTCTCCAGTTCGCACACCTCAAGCGGTTGCAGCACAAGATGACTGAAGAAACGATGCGCTACGAAGATACGTCCGGGTTATTATTAATTACAAACTAAATTCCAGTTCAATTATTCCCTTTTGCGTTATTCACGTCTCCGCACTACTCTTGTGAGGTGCCGTCTTCCCCGAAGGTCACCGATTATGTTGCAATGTGAAATGGTGAGTACGCATCAACAGTAAGCATGTCTTGCGACATTACGACTGTTTGATGCCGCGCGCCTGATGATGGCACCTGTCAAAACAGCTCGGAGGTGCTGCAATCACCGATAGCCCGTCCCGCCTAACGCCGCTCGTCTACTTTCGGCAGCACCCATACCCGAGCGAAGCTGAGAAGCACCACCTGTCGGCGGCCACGCGACTCAGCCTGGTGCAGGTCAACAATTGGTTCATCAACGCGCGCCGCCGCATCCTGCAGCCAATCCTCGGCCAGATGGAGGCCAAGGCCATCGTGGACGCTAGACTCACGGACCAATCGGGGGACGACACGTCACAAGGTGACGAATGGCAGCCGGTCACGGGCGATAAACCTATGAAGCATGTGCTCGTGGGACGAAACTCAAACTCAAATTTCGAATGGGGCCCCATTAGACGTCTGTGATTGGGATTGGATACTGGGAAGCAACTGCAAACGCCTTGTACAGCTGCTTTCTCTGGTCCCGGCTTACTCGAGACTGTCATTCTATGTGTTAGGCACGCTGTGAGAAAACACGGCTGTCCTTAACCCGAAGCGCCTCGACGCGTGATCTAGTAGCCGACATCGGTTTACTTTCATAACGCAACTGAACAATCATCAAAGCGTGCGGAAGCGTGTGCTCATACTGGCGTTGGTCAGCAGTCGTGGGCGCCTCGTCCAGCTCTCGGTGACCAGTGTACAACGTATCGTTCGCTGTCGCCTGACCTCGCCTCCGCTGCTCCCCAGACGACGGCGGCGGCTCGGCCGGGCTGGGCCCCGCCGACGAGGCGGGCCACCCGGCCGTCACGTGACCTCGGCGCGCCGCCCGGCCCCCGTCCCCTCCGGACGACCCAGTTTGTGCCATGGACAGAGCGCCGGCGCGCGGACGCGGCCAGTGATAGCGGTGTGACGCGCGCGCACGGACTCGCGCAGCGGGCGGGGCGCGGACGCAGAACTCGGCGCGGGGCGAGTCCGCGCCGCCCGCCGCCCGTCCGCTACCGACGGGCTGTACCTGACGCCAGCGCGGCCTCGCGGAGAGGGGCCCGGGCGCCGGCCGGCGCCGTTCCGTGCCAATCCGGCCCCTGTCTCGACGCGACCGCTTCAATGCCAAAGGCGTTCAGGGATTGTGTTACCTTACGCGTGAACCAAACAGGGTCCTGCGGTCGGCTCGCCCGCCAGACAGAGATCAGGGTATCCGACGGCCGGCCTAGTGACGGACAGCTACGCGCGCGCGCGCCTCCCCGCCGGCTGGCGCTCACAGAACGCCGACCAAGCTGTGATACCAGTGTAAAGCGCTGTAAATATCGACCACCGTGTCCAGTCGTGTATGCCGTACATATAAAGCAATAAAACTGCATGGCTGAGCCTTGGCTGCTGGTTGGCCTGGCCGGTCTCCAGTGAAGCCGGCTGAAGTGGGTTCATGGGGCTGAGTTTCTTCCGAATCAACCAGCGTCGAGGGCATGACACACAGCATTTGCATCGGTGCCTTCTATTGTCGCTTGGAATCACAAATCTTCCAAAACATGCACGACGGCCGGCACAGAACAAAGCACTCTTGGGAGCGCCTCAAAACCCGCTACCCGCTCTGACCCAGTCAAACGCTCCAAACCACCCTCAAAAGGGGCGCACCGGCGCCGCAGCACCAGCCGCGCCTCCGGGACGATCGCGGTCGCGGCCGGCCGGCCGCCGCACGCGTCATGGGCACGGGCCCACCGCCGGCCGACCGCTCACAGGTTGAAGAAGTCGGCGGCGTGGCTGCGGCGGCGCGCGCCGGGCCTGGCGCGGCCACCGTCGCCGGCGCCGGTCGCCGCACCGGGCGTGGCCACCTTCAGCAGGCCCTTGGCTGGCCGCCTGTCCGGGTTGTGCGGCACTTGCGGCGAGTTACGGACCGTGATCAGGTGCTCCTTGAAACCTGCCGACGGGCGGCGACAGTAAGCACCGAGGCTTCGATGACGCCGCCGCCACCGATCCAGGCGTTCAGACCGCGAGCAGTGCAGGAATGTCGTCACCGAGTCAGCCCACACTTGGAACAAAACCAAACAACAGCTATGCATAGAACACTTCCGCGACAAGACCTCATTCGCCCGGGAAGTTTTAGAAATTATTGAGGTCGTTGAATGTACGAAGACCGCTGTCTCGTCCGACGCGGCGCGGTTGTAATGACCAGCAATGCGTCGTTGCATGTGCAAGTGTCCTCACCGTTACGTGGAACAGACAACCGCAAAAGTTCCAACGCGATAGGCAAGAAATATGTGAGGCTTGGTCTGGCATTCTGGCACAACAGCATCGTCGTACCTCCTGTGTTTCGCGCTAGCAGACCGTGGGGGTCAAGACAAACGCGTCATCAAGGGGCACTGTCACATTATCCTTAAACGTATGCCATCGTCATGGTCTTTGCCACGCCTGCACAGGCGGATCAGAGTATGACCCAACACCTCCGGTTTTTGGGACGCATGGCGAAAACGCTCATCATGATCTAAAACTCCAGAATAGCTTACAAAGTGTTCGTTGTTCATCAATCATCCGTTGTTGTTTCAAATTTTCATTCAAGTTTTAACCTTGTGCCAGACATTTCAGAACGATATCGCAGAGTGAGAAACCCGGTTAAGCACATGCTCCAAACGCTGTGTAACGTGCCAATACGTCTTTAACACCACGTCTGATTCAACAAACTTGGACACTTTGCGGCACTATGCAGCAGCACTGTGAAGCAGCACAATGGAAAACATCCTTCGATTTCATTTCTGTAACCTGCGCTCTTAAAAACAAAAGTACTAAAAAAAAAAATTACGCGCGTGCGTCCCAATCTGACCGTGCGGTTCTCACGACTTGATACCAGTCCCCTGTCGGCAGAGGGCTGCTTGGGACGATCCTGCTTCTCTGAGAGCAAGTGTGTGTAAGCCGGGAGCAGGGGATGAGCACGTGCTGACACGTCGATGTTAGAATTGCCTTCGCACTGTCTGCAAACTTTCTTCAGCTCGGAGGAGGGGGTGACTCTTTGCGTCATCGTTTTTCCTCGAATGGTGGTCCAGTGGCCTCGGGTGTGGACAGTGGGAGGACACTCCGGTCCCAGCGCCCGCTTCTCTGTGCCGTCTCGCCCGCGGACCACTCCCGGGACGCTCCGGGCTGTGAGAAGTGGTGTCCCATACGGCTGGTAATCCTATTTGCCTCGCTGCATGCTTGCTTTAATTTCAGAATGCCCAGCATTTTCTTTGGCCACCTCGATGTACATCTAAGTTTCAGTCGCCCTTTGCGCGTGACATGCGCAAAGTGGTCCCAAAACACAGGGTGTAATGGTCCTAAAACACGGGGTGTAGTGGTCCCAGAACACGGGGTGCGACAAGGGCCTGCCACTCGTCGACTACAGTATCAGAAGGTATGCACGACTTACGGCGCTACAAATCAGCGGTCAGATGCGAAACTAGCCACTCCAAACATTCCTTTGATGACATCTCAAATGACATTTTGATCAAACTAAGACGGAAAAACAAATATTAGCACAAATCGGAGATAGCTTTTCTGGGCCCGTCCGTATTTACGCAACGCGAGGATTTTGAACCTAAGTCTAATCACATGGAGTTCATTTCGTTGCCAACGGCACCAATGAGGCTCCATAAACTTACCCTGGGACTTGTTTTCGGAGAGATTAATCTTCACCTTCTTGACGCCTGGCGTGGATGGAGAAGCTGGTAACGCCTGTGAAAGATCACCGCAGCTAAAGCAACTGACAACCGAGTCGCCGAACGCTGCTCCAACACCCGCCAATCGCCTATGGATCTCGCTACACAACTCAATCCCAGCAATGCAGTCCTGCGCGGGGTCAGCTTCCACTAATCATGCGCGAGACCGCGGTCCGCGCAAGTCCAAATTGGACAGTGAGGAATCTCACCTTGAGGGGCACGGCTCGGCGCTCGACGCTTATATTTTTACAACCACTGCTCGCAGCCGTACGCAATTTCTAGCAAACGCAATGCTTTAAGAGCCGGGCTGTACCAATTTTACAGAATTTGCCTTCATTCTATGATCGAGCGTGGGTATCTTGCATCACTGGAAGCTGAACAAACCTTAGGCTTTTCATTTGGTTGCCGCGGGAAACGCGCAATTTTCACATGGCGAAGATGTCAGATATGCGGGGAATCGTTCTCCAGGCCCAGACACCCCCGCGCTGCAACGGCACGTCGCGACATTTTGACGGAAAGAACGCTGACGGTACTCGCAGAAGTGTGTACCGATGTGTCCAGCCGGCTTTATGCCCTCATGCGTAAATAATGGGTCCGCCCGCTTTTGAGGGGCTTGTATGGACTGACGCCGGATCCCCGGCAATCGCGCCAAACAACTGTACCGCAAAGGTGAATGTACCTCTAGCAGATCACGAGAGATCACGTTATCGTCCGACCTATAGGTGTACCAACAATCGGCGGAGACGGGTCATGTGACCTGTTCCGGAAAAGGCCTCGGGCACTGCGCCCTACACCGGGGGATTATGGCACGGAGACAAAAACGCCGGATATTCCAGTTCACTGAAGCGAATCAACAACGTCGGCGTGTATCTGCTGTGTGGCGTGGCGATACACATTGGTTAGTCAATAAACCAGCAGAAACTTCAGTCTTCGATTTCTTTGCCTGAAATCGCCAGGTCCCACCAGACCCACAGCCAAATAAATTGCTAGCAGTGTTTTTTTCGCATTCAGGACATGCGCTACATCAGTGAACGACTGCCTGCTAAACTTGTATGAAAGCTGAAACGCACCAATTAAACCCATTGGCATGGATTCCCAACGGTGCCCAGCCACGTTAGCTCACGTTACGGCATCGTGTCCGTGATGACTATTGAGGACTGCCGGCCTGTTACGGCGTTACTCGCTATGCCCGCAGTGCACCTTACAGGCTATACATTTAGTCTAGTAATAATAGGCTATGCCAGCAATAGGCCTTTGACGGCCATACACTCATACTTCGGTTGAGAAACCAACGCAACGCTTTCTGCAATCATCCAAACTGATATCACAGACACGTCCAAAGGAGTCCCGTTCGGAGCCCGGCGATGCCATTCCACCCTACCCCGCGATCACCCTCATGCAACGCTGGTCCGCCTTACCTGGCCCTGGCCGCCCTTTGCCGCGCCCTTGGACGATCGCAGCTTGACGAAGGCCGGCACGGGCTTGGAGGCGACGAAGCGGGCGAACTGCGCCTGCGCCGCGTCCTGGACGGGCGCGTCGCCCCAGTCGTCCGCCGCCGCCAGGCTCCAGTCCAGCGTCGAGCCCGACTGCTGGTCACCAGGCGTCGCCACGGTGGCGCTGCTCGGCCCGCGGCCGGCGCCCACACCGGGCTCGGGCGAGGCCGCGCTCGTGGGCGAGCCCTTCTTCGCCTTGGACTTCTTGCGCTTGGATGGCGGCGTCGCTTCAGCGTCGGTAGTGGTCTCGCTCTCTGGTAGCGACTGCTTCTGGGCTTTTTTCTGCCGCGGGGTCTTTTCGATGTCGTTAGTTACCCAGCTATCTGCTGGTGGCAGCTTCTTGGCTTTCTTCCCTCGGGGTGTGGTTTCCATATCGACAACGACCTCACCGTTCACCGCCGCCGACTTCTTGTTCTTAGACTTCTTCTGTCGGGGAGTCGGCGCCGCTTCGACCTCAGCGACGGACCGGTTTGCTGCAGCGCGGGGCGAAGGGCTGTCCCCCTCCGCCGATTTCGTCTTCGAAGCTTTCTTCTTGCCTGGAGTCACCTGTTCTAAGCTAAAAACGCCTTTTCCTGTTTGTACATTGGATATTTTTGAAGACGGTTGCTTGTCTGACTCCTTTGTCACGTGGCTAAAATTAGTACTATTCCGCACTTCTTCAGGTGCGAAACGCCCTTCTTGAACCACTGCATCCACCCCCGTTCCTGAAGCCGTCTTCCTACCCTTACTTTGACTATGTTTTCCATCTCCCATCTCACCATTCTGCATGGAATGACTATTTTCGAGCGCCGACGCCGTACCGTTCAGCTTCGCCATCTTCTCACGCTTTTTCCTCTTCCTCTCCAGCTTGTCCAGCTCGGCCTGTTTCTTTTCCATGAGCTTCCGGCGCCGCCGCTCCTTCAGCGTAAGGCGCCCTCCGCGCGGCGGCTCTGGCGCCGCCCCCGCGGCCGGCGCTTCCTCTGTCTCCGCTGCGCCGGCCTCGGCCAGCAGCGCCTCGCCCGTATCAATCACACCGTTCGTCAGCACCTGGTGCTTCAGCCTTCTCTTCTTCTTTTTCGGCTCCGGCTCGTCTTCGTTGTCGCCGTCGCCGTTCAGGAGTCGCTTGTTTCGGCGACTGTCCCTGTTCAGACGAGCTTTCGTTGTCTGGAAATGAGCGACCAGTCAGCGTCAAGCTCTTTAGCCACTTGCACAACACACCTCGCCAAAACTGACGTCATCAGCGCACCCGAGAGTCCAGAACAGCGGCCCGAACTAGAGGCCCAGTTCTCCCCATATACACGAACACCCATGTATAGCAGCCAGGGTCAGCTGCCACACCGTCTACAGCACCAGCGGCACCCCGCCCCAGCGGCGGTACCGCCACTCGCCTGGAGGCGCTGCACCGCCGCCTGGATGTCCTCGTCGCTGATGTCCGAGTCCGAGTCCACCTGATCCGGCAGCCGCAGCGCCAGCGGGTACTCGCCCTCGCTCAGGTCACGGAACCTGTGCCAAACGGCCGGCCACAGTCAGGCAACAGCAGCACTACGACGCAGTGAGCGCAGCGGTCTAGCGACAGCAGCGCAGCGGTTAGGCGGCGGCAGCGCTACGGCGCAGCGAGCGCAGGGTCAGGCGGCAGCAGCACAGCGGTCAGGCAACAGCAGTGCTACGGCGCAGTAAGCGCAGCGGTCAGGCGACAGCAGCACAGCGGTCAGGCGACGGCAGCGCTACGGCGCAGTGAACGCAGTGTTGCTTGGGCATTCGTCAGAGGCGACTGGTTAACGACAAATCACGTATGGTACGCTTAACAGAGACAGGGCATTACTAGTTACAAACATGCCCTTATTATTATTGATTGAGATAAACACGCCCTTAAGAAATCGTCACAATACAAATATTCTGCTGGCATATTTGAGGTAAGATTAACAGTCTTAAGGCCACGTCAGCCAGCAGTGGGCCGGGATCTGCCGTCCACCAAACCCTGCCTTCTATGCCAGCCGGTAAAGGGTCAGGCGCTAATGTACGCCAGCTAGTGCATAGATCATCCACCGAGTACTCACTGCTGCGCTAGCCGGTAGAGGGCAGTGCGGCTGGCCTGGCGGACAGTCGGCTCGGCGCCGGCAGCCACCAGATCGTCGGCCAGCCGGGCGTAGTCCACGTCCAGCTGCGGCAGCATGACGTCCACGCCGCCGGCGCGCGGGTCCAGTGGCCCGCCGGCCGAGGCGTCCGGGGCCGAGTCCGACTGCCGGACGGCGGGGCGGGGACGGTCACAGACGGCACCGCCACCGGGCGCCGGTCGCTGCACCACTCAACGGTTGTATCACGACGAGCCATGCGCTTTGCTTCGGTACCGGCCATCTGTCCACCGCCAAATTGTTTCGGCCATGTCAGCAACCAAATTAACCGTGACAGGTGACGTCAAAGACCTCGGATTCTTCCAGAAAACCTCCAATCCCACTAGCAAGGCTACGTCTATCGTCAGCAAACTGAGCACCGAATGTAGAGCGCACACCAGGTCCCAGCTCGATCGGACTAGACAGCCACACTAGACGCATTCCGCGCGTCGCTCGAGCGGCCGTGCCGGCGACAGCCCACCTCTTCGCTCGCCTCCTCTTCGTCGTCGTCGCTGTCCAGGCCGGCCGCCGCCCTGCTGATCTGGGCCTCATGCGCAATACCGACGTCACTCTGCCGCATCAGGTGGTAGAAGATGCTGTTGGTGACGGTGGTGCGCAGCACGCGGTCCCTACTCACCTTCAGCACCTGCGGGGAGCGACGCCGCCCCGCGTCAGACGAGGCTTGCCAGCGAACCCAGCGGATGTCACCGAGGTTAACAGGGAGCAACGCAGAGTCTGGGCGGTCACACAAGGACGCCCGCCACTCAGGCCAGCCCGGCATCACGTGGCATTGATGGCACTGAGCGCCAGCCAGCGCGGGTCAGGTAGCGTAGCGTGGTGCAGGGATCTTTTGTCTCGTCATGGCTAATGTCACGAGTCCGTGAGCTCCTGAAACACTACAACACGCTTTTATTTCCCATCGAAAAGCCGGTTTGACACTTTGCAACTCCACGCCCACACAGCACAAAATATCCCAAAGCAGTGTCTTAACAAACAGACTGCAGGCTGCCGCCCGTTGCAGGCGGCCGGGCCGGCGGCTGAACGGAGCCGGTGCCGCCGACACCCGAGCCGCTCACCTCCACGAACGGCCGGAGGAACGGCGCGAGCTGCTGGGGCGCCAGGCGTCCGCCAGCCACCTTAGCCACCTCCTCCAGGCAGATCTCGACCAGGTGCAGCTGCAGGCCGAGCGGCAGGCGCGCCTTGTCCTCGGGGCAGGCGAAGGCGACGGCGTACACGGCCAGCAGCCGCTCGGTCAGCGGGCCGCTCCAGCCGGCGCTCACCGCCAGCGCCAGGCTCTGGCGCAGCACGCGCCGCACCAGCTGCAGGGAGGGGAGGGGCGGGGCAGGGTCACACCGAGAGCCGCGCTGTGGCTGCTGTGCCGCAGGGGGATCCACCCCGGCACACCGCCGCTGTGCCGCTGTGGCTGCTGTGCCGCAGGGGACGGCTCGATCGGCTCACAAGCTCGGCAACGCAGCGGCGCGAGGCGGAGTTTTACCAGCATGCACAAACGCTGGGGTACGGCTGGAGATGTTCATGTGGTGGGGTCATGTATGCTTGAAATGATAACCCCACTTTGAACTATCCGACCAAGACGACGCGTTTTCCCCGGGTAAGCCGAGTCCGACGTATACGCATCCATTCTACGAAGACCTTGCCTCACCGCATGGAAATCTGTGTACAGCCTTGCATGTGGCACGACAAATGTTTCTGGAAAAGTACACGTTAACTCCGAACACATCAACCGGAACACGCACCCGGAGCCGACACTAACCATCATGAACTTGTCCCGCCTGATGGCATCGATACTGTGCCACTCGCGCGCCATGGTGGTGAAGAAGGTACTGCAGAAGGTGACGGCGTCCTGGCCGTGGGGGAACAGGTGCACCAGCTGGCTCAGCTCCTCTGCCAGTTCCTCTTGCACCAGCGGCTTGTCCGACATCCACATGCAGTAGAACAGGCCCTTCCATAGCTTCAACAGCTCCAATTCGCTGAAGGCTGCAATCAGATGCGCCGGCGTCAGTTGTCCATCTTTACCGTTGCAGATGTGAGCGTCTGGCCAAATACTGGCAGGTGACATCATACCCTTAACTCGGTGGAGACAATGGCGCTCCTCAGGCTCCGGAATTTGTCGTAGCATGAAGACTAGACGTGACGAGCATTGATATGGGGACATGATCATTGTAATACAAAAACAAAACGTATTCAAATGTGGTGTGTCGTCAGTTGCAGAGCATGGTCAGACGGCGATCATTTGGAGTGAATTAACATCAGATCAAGCTTCTCAAAAACTGTCTCCGAAATATTAAAAACCCTGCCTACACCGGCCGATACACATCACGCTCTTGCCGATGCTGACACCTGCTGGTATAAAGCACAGTCCCTCTATTTTTCAATGAAATAAGACATGCAGTGTGTGCTTTGTGATGAACTCGAAACGGATCAGTTGGTGTAAAACTTACTGTAAAAAACGGATAATATTGAGAAAATAGTCCGACCCAAGTGCCTGCGTACAACAGTTCCACAGCGACAAAACATAACAGGGCACCATATCAAACGGCTCCAGGCATCACACATGATGCACAAATTTCACTATCGGCCACCGTACGAGCATAGCCTCGCGCGTGACGGGCGATGCCAAGCCTCAGAAGTGGCGGGGCGATCGGCTTGCATGCACCAGACATAGGGCCGGAGTGCCCAAGTCGGGAGTAGTAATAATCACTCGCTGGGACAGAAACGCATGCTCCTCCCCCTAAGCGTCTGCTTCCACCCGCGCTGCCGGTCACACGAAAACGCGAAGTTCTGCTTTGCTGACTGTATGGGCACGAGCCTTCTCCGCTTCAGGCATGCGTATATAAATCCATGTGCCTCTCGTGCGTATATAAATCATATGAATCCAAGTGACCTGCTGGGTGGAGTGTCCCGTGCGGTGGAGTGACCTGTGGGGGGGGGGGGGGGGGGAGCGTTCTGTGGGGGTGAAGTACCCTGTGGGGTGGAGTGTCCTTGGGGCGAAGTGTCCTGTGGGGTGGTGTCCTGTGGGGTGGAGTGTCCTGTGGGGTGGTGTCCTGTGGGGTGGAGTGTCCTGAGGGGTGGAGTGGCCTGTGGGGGTGGAGTGTCCTGCAGGGTGAAGTGTCCTGCAGGGTGGAGTGCCTGTGGGGTTGAGTGACCCATGGGGGGAGCGTTCTGTGGGGTTAGGTACCCTGTACCCTGTGGGGTGAAATGGCCTGTGGGGCGGAGTGTCCGATATATTCTCCAACGGGCTCAACCACCACAACCATGTGCTCTTTAAGGCACACATCCCCTGTGCTGGTGTTTGGGTGAGTGGGTGAGAGATCATTCCGGCCGGCAGAAAAGTCCAGCCAGGCCCTAGTCGCGCTGACGACCGCCAGGTCTGTGATTCTTCCACGAAAACATAGTGTCTGGCTAGCCAATTTTCCCGCACCTACTTCTCTGGATGCCAAAAATGACCACTTCACTTATCGACTACTTCTCACTCGTATCGGCTGTGGCACGACAAAAACGGAACGGGCATACATGACTGACTGCCAACAGCTTACTCTGCCAAATCGAACCAAATAAGTTCTCACCAACGTCCTCTCCCCCGCGACACCACAAACAAATGGCTGATTTGACATGGCCGAACACGACACCGACCCCCTCCTCCCCCTTTCTATTACTGTCTTCTCCATGTTTGTTGAAGCACTGGAAGAGTGCGTACTGTCATGGTTGCCGTCCTGAATGCTCAGGGACCGCCGGCCCCCTAAAGTTGTACAAATAATATTACAGCTACGGTGATGTATGGAAAAAGGCGACCTTAAAACGTGCTGAGCCCCCAGGGATGTCACAAAATAATGCCTCCGCGATATGTTTTCGATAACCACATCTTAGCGACGTATTTCATTACGAAACAGAATAACTGGGGCATTCTAGGTGATTCTTGCTGATTGGGCTTTGCGGCCGGGTGTAAGCGCAAAAACTTCCCGATCAGGGGTCATAATGGCCAGGTGGTCAGGCACACCCAGCTCCCACATGGGTACTCGGGTTCGAGCTCCAGTTGCGCCGTGGCCCTGAGTGCTCATATGACCTCTGCAGCATTGCTGGAGCCATATAGAATTGCCCGACGACGTGATCCACGTGCCCCTAGGTAATTCGCACATTTCAGCTGGATTCGCCCTTTGATGAAAATCGCATCAAGCTTCATCCAGTGTAACAAAAAGCTATAACATCCAGAATCTCAATGGCATGGACAGCTTGCCAGCCATAAAAATGTTTCCCAGATCAAAGACAATATGATAGACAATAGCAACAGAGGCACTTGCATGTTGTGTATGACTGTCATATATTTACTTAAAACATCTAACCCACTTTTGCCATCCACACGGTTTGATGCTACAAGTACCCACATTACATGTTGCTTAGGCCCATCCCAGTTGAAAACCATTCCATCTTCCTGGTAACTGAGAGGAACTGGTTATAAACAGAATCACACAAGAGTATATTTCAACCATGAAACCCTATATTTCTGCATCAATTGTTTGGAAACACCTTTTCCTCCAAAATCCAATTTGCTGCTGTGATTTGACCACCTCAGTTACCTCTGCATTCAATCAAAATCAATGTATATTCACAATATTTGTGAATTATGATCACAAGATGTCATGCCTCAGTGCTAAAACTGTTTGAGAACCTTGAATGTGGACAAAATACTTATTGTCCTGATGTTCCTCTTGAACCTACTGTTTAGGTGTTACCCAGCATAACTTGACAGGGCTTAACCTGTGCTGAGGGCAGCTGAGTTTGCCCTGCCCACCACAACACTGTGGCCTCCATATCTTCCCGCTAACATGCACCTCTCATCCGCCGAAACCAGCCCACAAGAATCCATCCACCCCACACAACACCTACTTGACATCTGTGTGCTGAGCCACAGATGGCAATGTGTGCAGCAGGCCACAGATGGCAATGTGTGCAGCAGACTGCAGATGACAATGTGTGCAGCAGACTGCAGATGACAATGCATACAGCAGGTCACAGATGGCAATCTGTGTAGCAGGCCACAGATGGCCAGCTGCAATGTCTGCAGACATAGCCAAGGGCCATAACAGCCTACTAGCCTAGTGGGTGCTGGAGTCCAACATCATATTGCCTAATCAGTGAGCTTATTTTGACATATGGAAACTATTTGCAGACTGTGGTGTTCATATTTAACTGATAGTGCCTAGTGGTGTTCTTCATCAAGCCAACTGCCTCATTTTGCAATCTGGCAGCTGGCCTGTTTCATCTACAATACAATGACATTCACACATTTGTTGGCATCCATACAGTTTTAAATGAGAAATGTCCAGCCAGCTCATATACAAAATTTCACATCAAAGACCCAGTCTGCAAAACACTGCAGATTCTGACAAGATCTTGTTGGGGCAGGGTTGTGGCAAAATTTAAATTTGGGGCAGATTTTAGAAATTTGGGTATAGCAATTCCTTAGTCAAGGTAGCACACATTATAGAAGGGCAGCTCATGGTATCTTGGGGTGGGTATCACACCAAGGCAAAGGTTGACCAGAGCTGCAAAATGCAGCAATGCAATAAAAACAGGAGTGTTAATCTACACAGACAAACACACATGCACCACATCTGTGTCAACTGCATCATGGTTATCATAATCTCTGTCATATTATCTACCCCAGTCTGCCTTGCAGATGATTGCACAGCCCCTGCAGGCAGAGATACACTGATAGTTGAAGCACTCACATCACCATTCTATGAGCACAAAGCCTTTTGCTTGCTCCAGCCCCTGCAGTTGATGATGGACAGGTAACCTAGCAGCAAACAATTCCATACCAGGCAAGCCAGAAGTTAGCATGGGTACTCCAAACCCACCAGGTTTAACCATTCATATCGCAAAATGCTTAACACCTTTTTGCACACAAACTATCCAAGATCAACTCTGCATTTCATAAAGCAATGATCAAATCCAAATATTGGATAGTAAATTAGTGTGATTTTGGCTGCTGTTAAACAGCACGGGGACTAACAGGTTGTCCGTGCCCGAATTGGATTCATGAGAAAATCCTGGAGACCTGTCATCTGATTGTTGGCCCAAGCCACAAGCAGGGAATCTGGCTACCCCATTTAGGGCAGTGTAGGGCCTTCCCCAAACATCTTGTTGACTGGTCTGCCACTTTTCGCAGACTAGCTGGACCCTCATCCTGGAGGTAATATCTGACAATTAGATTTGTGTCACAATCTATGATTTCGAACCAAAATTCGTTGCATCAATCATGCAAAATTTTAATAATGATCCTTCTTATGGTTGAAACATATTTCATCCTTTTCTTCCAAATACTAATACGCTGATAACGATGTTTGTACGTCTGGGCCACTGGTGTGCCTTACAAGTGCATGCTGAGCACTGGCCCGCCGAAGTTGCGAACTTACCACTATCTTCTGACCCCGGATCAGATTTGAGATTTATCCATTTCTTAAGCTTTTTCAAAGCTCGATCTCTTCCTTCTTTTTCATTGCCAGCAAGTTTTTGAGCGAATTTAATTTCAATGCCGTCACTCATCGCCGCCGCCATGCTTTCAAGACATCCCCGAGCGCCGATATGGAAGCTGTCGAAATATTTCCCTTTCCGGAAATATCTCGTGATGGAAAATACACTCTCATCTGTCAACAAAACCAAAATGTTATCCATCATTTGAAACAATTTAAAAAGTGAGAAATCATATAATTGCCTTCTTATCTCTTGCATTTACTTCATGAACTCACGAAATACAGGTTGAAGTGAGAAGCTTTTACTCACTAAAAAATAGTAGAGGTATCTACTCGATATGGAGGTAGAAAATAGTGTAGACGAGAAAATGCGTCGCAATGACTGCAATGAGTTTTACGATTGATGGCGCGTTTGATGCATTGATTGCTGTGGTGTGCCGTGGTTTCTTGAGTCTAGCGGTTGGGAGCCGTCCGTGGCGTATTACGCCCGGCGTCAAATAATTGTTAAACGTGACTGCAATATTGAGTTTTGGCTAGCAGGCATTGCGAGGAAGAAGAGCACCAACTTCAGGCTCTCGCAGACTCCGTCACTTCTCAGTGTCCAGTGAGATCAAAGCATGCGCTTTTGTGGAACGTACTGTGGTTTGCCCGTTGGCGTGACAGATTCTTGACTGGTGGGTGACAAGATGGTATTAAACTGCTTCCCCATTTGTTTTGCATCCAGAGGCCTGTAATTTGTGTGAATTTTTGCATACTTCTACAAGTTGTAGTTGAAAGAGGTGGGATGAAGGTATATATTTGGGCCTGGTTGGCTGGGATGGACCAAGGGATGGACTGTGAGGTTGTAAGCAACCAAGCTCTTACAACATTGTTTGTGGTGTATGCAGTTGGCAACAGTTCTCACCTTACTCCAGGATGGTTTGTGTTGCATTTTGCTCAGCAGCTTGTTTTGTTCTACACATTATGAAGCCTTGATTGTCATTGAAAACTTAGAATTACAAATAAAAGAGATATCCTCTTCCATTTTTTATAGATCAAGTTCATTGTAGAATATGGTATTTCAGGGGAAAGCCATGGAGCTGGAGTCTGAGTAGGTTGAGTTTTCTCTCCCCTCCTCCCTCTCTTGTACTGAAAAGAAAACTACATATCTGTATCATGGACTCCTATGCAGCTATGTGCAATCATTGTCATGCATGGCAGGATCCTTGTTTTCAAGGCAATGTCTGTAATGACATATGGACAATATACATTGATGCTCAGATATTTCATTATGTAGAAATTTATTCATTATGTAGAAACTCCCCAGTCACAACTACCAGTATGTGTCCTGCCTTATGAAAATAGCAGGGCTATGGAATAATAACCTTTCCTGGGCTATGCCAATAATACAGGTTGATAGGTCATAAGTCAACTGTGCTTTCTGTGCTGATCAGCTGTCTTGTACTATGTAATGGCTCATAGATTAGTCTCAGGTACTCTGTTAGAAATGCATCCAATTAATTGTAACATTGTACTAGCAGTGGTGAAGAGCCAGATTCTTGGGCCAGAATACATGCTACTGGAAGGCTACTTATCAGCTTCCAGTCTTAGTTGAGAAGGCATTGACATAATACACTAGTAGTGCCCTAAAGCCTTTAAAGTAGCTTATTTGGTTTATTGAAATAAACATTGTCTTTGGCAGGATATGTTCTTGTCAATATTCTTAACTCTGTCCCTTGTTTTGACACAGTGAGTTTTAGTTTATAGTAAGAGAAACTTCTTATCTTTTGCATATATTGCAACCTTCACATGGTTTTATCACATGCCTTTTCAATGACTGTCATGGGGATGTGCTTCAGGTTAGTAGTGTTTCATATAATGGTAAGGCTGATACAGTGTACCAGGTATTTTGTGAGTGTGACTAACAATAGCTGGTATTCTGCTAGTGATTTGGGTTTGAACTGCTACTAACCTTTGACTTATTTGATTTTTCAGCTAGTTTGGCTCCAGACCAAGATATGGATTTTGGTGCAAAGCCACTGGTTTTAACAGCATGAACTTCTCAGCTGCTAGCCAGTCTGCTTTTAAAACCAGTGTTGGGGTAAGGTTTTGCTGCATGCTGGGCACATAGTTTTTGCTGACATATCAAACACCACTGACATCATGTTGTGACAAGTTCAGATATTGCCAAAGAATGCCAAACTTGGGAAATAAACACTGCAGTGCTTCTTTCAAAATCCTAGTTTAATAAAGAACTGAAGCCCTCTGCATTTCTCCAAAAAGCTCCCTCTGAACATGTACAGATATCATGAAAGCTGTTCACTATTACTGCTCCCAGCAATCCCAAGCCATTTTCAACTTTTGAGGGGGTATTGTTCATGTCTGTGCACCTAAGCAGCATCTGACCAGTCTGAGCATGTCTGGCGGCGCTGCCGGCGCCAGCGGCGGCGCGGACCCGTCGCCGAGGCTGACGCCCCCCCCCCCCCCCCTCTCTATCTCGTCCCTGTCTCGGAGTGCTGCCGCTACCGGCGCCAGCGGCGGCGCGCACCTGTCGCCGAGGCTGACGCCCCCTCCCTCTCTCGTCCTCGTCTCGGTGTGCTGCTGCTGCCGGCGCCGGCGGCGGCGCGGACCCGTCGCCAAGGCTGACGCCCTCTCCCCTCTCCTCCCTGTCTCGGTGTGCTGCCGCTGCAGGCTCCGATCCGGCCAGGATGAGCGGCGACGCCGGCGTGCAGCGCTGCGTGGCTATGCTGCAGAAGGCCGGCAACGACACGGAGAAGTTCGCCGCCCTGCTCATGGTCACCAAGGTCGGTGGCATCCCACTCCCGTGGAACAGGGCGAGGGCGCGCGCCGTCGGCGCTCGGAGGCCATACCTGGCTGGGTTTCGGGTCTCGAACCAAGAGGTGCACCACTGTGCTGTGCACCAGCGCACCACTGTGCTATGCACCAGCGCAGACGTCTGCGGACTCTACATCTCATCTCTGTGTGACGCGACATGTGGAACACATGAACTCGTCTGACACACATAACGGCTGTGATCGTCAGTGGCTTGACTTTCATGCTGATTTCAACAGGAAGCCGAACTGTCAGTTAGCATTGGATCGCCGAAGTTGTAAAAGATTACCATCCATGCCCCTGATGCCGCACTGTCAATGACCCAAAAAGTCGCCCCCAGAAAGATAAACATCATGTTCAAAAAACAAGAGTCACTGAAGCTCTTAAGAAAGTCACAGAGATGCTGTGTGGCATGTGCATCATCCCACTTAACATGTTTTCGCTTATTGGCTGCTGCTGTTGTCATTAGGAGCTGTCATGTCCACTGTGCTGAGGGGCAGGTTACAGTGTATCCCGGTCTCTCAGACGTGTACTGTCATCTGTCTCACCGCTCCCTCCGTGTACCGCCGTCAGCTGTCTCACCGCTCCCTCCGTGTACCGCCGTCATCTGTCTCACCGTTTACTCCGTGTACCGCCGTCAGCTGCCTTTCCATGTACCGCCGTCAGCTGTCTCACCGCTCCCTCCGTGTAGCGCCGTCAGCTGCCTCACTGCTCCCTCCGTGTACCGCCGTCAGCTGGTGAACGCGGCTGACTGTGGGCCCGAGCAGCGCCGCCTCCTGTTCGACGCCATCGGCTTCACGTACCTGCTGCGCATGCTGGGCAGCCCGGCGCCGCCCGGCTGTCCGCCCGAACTCTTCAAGTCCATTGCGCTCACCATCTTCAGCTGCTTCTCACAGGTGAAGCAGCGCCGACTGGGGAGAGGCTCACAGGCAGTGCCGGATGTGACTCACTGTCAGGTGGCCTGTGTGAATGCGTGTCCGAATGTGTTTCTGGGACTGAAATATTTATTGTGTCAGCTGTTTCGATCGGTTAGTAATCGCTTCTAGCTCATCCTGTCGGCAGCACTGCCACCAATGCAACAATTTGCAACGTAAAATAATGTATCGTTGGTGATCTAGTTGATAGGGTGGGTAATTACCATGTCATCATGGTCCCCTCGTCCTGTCAATACAGTCCACAACATTCTAAAAGCGAGTGCCCTTGTTTTGTGTAGTCGGACCATCGCCCTGCAACACTCGCCCACCCTTCACTGGGGAGAATCGCTGTGCCAGCAGCCCGACCAGACACGCCAGCCGGCCGCCGGGTCATTGACCTGAATCAGCCCCGCCTGTTGGTCTTTCGTTTCAAAACGCCCCGAGGGCGGCGCCACCTGGCGCTGCCAGTCGGCCGTCTCTCACGCACGGGCGCCGGCCCGGGCACGCCCTGGCCGCACACATGGCGCCGGCGGCGGCGGCGGCGGCGGCACCTCATGCTGGGCTGCGAGTAGGCGGCGGCGGGAGTCGGGGGTTATGTTTTGCTTCTGGCTGGGATGCGACGGGAGGGTTTAGTGCCGCACGCACAACCCCAATCTTACGCAAAGTCAAGGTCCTTCTTGTCTGGATGTAGCCACATACGGCTACCTATGTTCTACCGCGCCGATCTAAAAATAGATCATGCTCCAATACTGCCATGACTCATTAGCGCCGAATTCCCGCCGGCCGGATGAGGTTGACGGCAGCGATGAGAACGGACGGCTCGGCTGGCAGTTCGCGGATGCTCGCCATTCCGCTGGCCTAAATGACGGGAGGCCCATTGTCTTAATGCTGGGATTTGTCTAGCTGCTGCGTGGCTGCTGGTGTAAACCTGGCCGTTGGTGGCTGGCCTGGTCCGGCCAGCCGGTAATTCAATAGGTCTGGCGGAGGCCTGACTCGGGCTAGGTGCCAGCCTGCCGACTATATCCCCAGTGAGTGGGCTCACCTCGGCAGCATACGTGTCGGTAACTAATTAATGCGCTTTTGACGTCGCTCGAGCCGCCAAGGGAACGGCCAAGGCAAACATCCTGTTTGCGTGTAGTTATGTGGATTGAAAGGGAGGGCGTTCAGGACATTCGGGACAATGTATTTGCGACGTGTGGGTGGTCTTAAACTAGTGCAGACGTACCTTATGCGCCCAGTGAGCTTTGCCGCTTTTTGCAACTGCGATACAGGTAAAATGCAAGAGAATGCGAAGAAATTATCATTTACGGTGAAGCGAAACCGATTTCCGGCACATCCCCGTGCAGCTATTGTTGTGAGCCCTCCGCTTCAA